ACATCTAGTTGCTTGTACGAATTATCGGTTGATGTATATCAATGTATTTATTAATGTTTTTTTCTCTATGTATACTACGCTTCCTGTTACAGTTTTCTTTAGTCTTGCGTAGTCAGGTTTACGATTAGGAACAGTGCCTCTTGGAACTAAGTGCCTTGTAGCTTTACATGTATACATGACATTTAATGTATCTAATTTATGAACATGACTTACATTACCTGTAAAAGCGATAAGACAATTTAGGTATTACAGACGTTAGATGAACCCATTGAATTTCATGTTATTTTCGGATTTATTCTTTTGTCGAAGTGTTTTGAGTGGTCTCTGATAGTCACACCGTATTTTCGATACCTTCTTTCATAAGTTTTGTATCTTATATGGCATCTAAATTATCTATTCATCATCATCATCAGCCTTTCATGTCCCCACTGCTGGGGCACGAGCCTTCCCTATGGATGGAATAGGGAGTTTGGGCCATGATCCACCAGGCGGACCCAGTGCGGATTGGTGGGTGCTAATGACAGCAGATGCAGCCGGGACCATCGGCTTAACGTGCCTTCCGAAGCACGGAGGAGCTCGAGATAGTGATTTTTTGGTCACCAATCCATCCAATAACCGACCACCGCGAAAGTTGCTTAACTTCAATGATCGCAGCCGAACGCGCTAACCACTTACGCCATCGAGCTTGCACAATCTATTTTCAACTCTGTACTACAATTACATTCAGCTTCAGGTTGAGTATAGTCATTCGCTCAGTTGCCTATAAAAAAAAAACAATCTTAAAAATACGTTTTTTAAAAATAGTTACCGTAAGTAATCGAGGTGCATAGCCCTTGAGTTCACCGCGTTTCTCACTTCTTGTTTATGTATATTTAAGTTGCTTTCAACAAGCAGACTGTGATGTCTAAAACACTCATTCGTAGACTTTTTCATTACGTTCTGTACTGACAACGGCATAACAATATCCGTAATGTTGTATTTTACCTATTGACTATTCATCAATGGTGATATTTCAATAGATACATATTAGTTGTGGTCTATCATGGTTATTATTATTTTAAAAGCCTATATGATTTGTTTATCATCAAAATCTTAAGGACGTAGCTCTAATGACAAAATGCTCTCTTCTCCAGATTTAAAGTTAAGGATATTTATTCAGAGTTAACGAATTGTAATTTTCTTCTTTTTTTTGTTATTATTTTTAACAGTACTTACTTCATAGGCATAAGTGCATTGAGTCAAAGATCTGTATTATTTTCTATATTTTTAATACTACTTTTTAATGTATTTAAAATTTAATAATTTTAAGGATTAATTCTTTTATTTATATACAATACGAGGTATTCCGATATTCAGTATGTATGTCGCTGACCAAACTGTGTTAGCCGCGTGTATTGTGGAATGCCAGAATCTATGATTATATCCAGTGGGAACCTAAAAGTTTTAATGTCGACATAGAAGAGTTAAGAGCTATGTAATTTTCCTTCTGTCAGAATCTATGCTTATTCCAATTCATAATATGTATCAGCATGTAGAAATATAAAATAGATAAAGTAACCGTGACCATCATTGGAAAACTTATAATTATATCAGCAGGAGTCTGATATACCTATACCTTGTACCTGTAGAAATGCCACTGCAGCCAAAACCTTTTTTTTCTCTCTCAAAGGAGACTGGAAACATTTTTTATTACTTACATCATATAACCACTTTCCAAAATCATCGATAAATTTCTACTTCGCCCAAAAACTTTAATAGCAAATTCGCCAGGCATTTAGCAGTACAACGGCTTATACAATTAGGCTGCGTCATGAATATCAGGTTGTACTTAGAAATCGCTTCCATATAAATTTATTGATGTATATAATAATAACGCAATAGTATTGTGGACTGAGATTATTTTGTGCATTTAGATGTGTAATTATTAACAAAACAAAAATATTTTTATACAGAAGAAGAAATAGGGGACTCAAATTTCACTCCATCTGTTGACAAGTAGCAAAATTTTTGTAGCGCCATCTAGTGGTGAGTAGGAAAACTTGGTACTCTATAAGAAAGTTGTAGTCCAAAGATAACTAGATGTCGCTAATAGACAATTATTTTAACAGTGCCATGAATCAGTCTGTTTTATAGTAGTTTAGCACATAGTTATTTTAACTGTTTTTATTGTAATGAAAAAATATATGCTACCAGTTATTATTTTGGAGTTATCTGATCATACTTCAATTTGTTATTCTGTAGATCAACTTAACTCGAAAGAAATCGCTGTATTTATTCCATCTTTAATATGTAATGAATTTGTCAATTTAGTAGTCCGATATCATCACAAAATGTATATGTATTATTTATATTGTTGACATCAAAACAGCCTTAAATAAAAATAAAAAGCAGAAATAGAAAAAATGTTTTATTGCGATTTTAATCGCTATCAGTCTTAAATCTAAAGTAATTTAAGGTCATTAAAAAAATAAGATCACATAAGTCATAGTACTTACTTATCACAAAGTTAAGGAAGTAAAAAACAATAACGAAGTTACATGTTTAACCTCTAGCCTCGACCAATAATATCATCTAGCTACTCTAAACAGCATCATGATCTGCAAGAAAGAGAGAATAAATAATTAAATACAATACACTGCTTCATTTAGAGTTGTCAAGTCGCCAAATCGCCGGACAGACTCGCCAGTTTGGCCGGACATTTGGCTGAAAAGGCGGGACACTACATTATTTATTTTTTATTAATTTTGTAGCTCTGTAATATTAGCTTCATCAGCTAGTTTCATTCGACAACATTACACATCTTTTTAATTATTGTTAGAAATAAAATTGAACAAAACTCGTGCAGCAAGAACTACAAAGTAGTACAAAGGCAGGGCCGGATTTAGAGGTCCAGAGGCCTCGGGGCAACAGAGGAGCGGAGGCAGGGGGCCACCCCAAATTATTTTCCAAATAAAGTAAACAATTTTTTTTCAGTCGAGTTTTTCAATAAATAATTTATTGTGAACCAAGTAGATTCCCTTAGTATTGAACAAACACATATAAATATAAACGGAAACAAGAATTATCTGAAATAAATCTTAAGAGTTAACGAACGGAACCGAAAAGATGTTTACTAGTTGGAATTTGAAAGATTTTTTTCCGAAGTCTCTATTGTGGGGGCCCCCCGTTTGTGGAGGCCCCGGGGCTTTCGCCCCGGTTGCCCTCCCCTAAATCCGGCAGTGTACAAAGGGATATGTAGCTAATTTTATATATATGGTGACCAGGCTGTCCATATCGAACTAGTATCTGATCTTACGAGCTCTGCATTTTTGGCTACCTTGCGGAGAATGGCGGTAAGGAGAGGCGCTCCCTGCCATGTTTACATTACAGTGATCGTGGAACGAAAAGATTGAGACATTTATAGTAATCTTCGGTGGTTCATTGGTAGTGCGAGTGTTCTCGCCCGCAATCATTAATAAAAAACGAACTCTTTCATTAATGCTTTTAAAAGTTTTACTTGTATCGTGGTTTCATTTATTCGAATCTCCAGCATTAATAGTTTTGACATCGTAGAGTGAAGAATCATAAAGAACAAAAAAGAAACATTTAGCCATCTACTACATGTATATTCTTTAGAAAAAACGTTTAATGATACTGGAGCCGCCGGATTACTGTGTCCGTTTTTCTGGATTGCAATTCCCAATATGGTATTTGACAAGTTTTAGAAAACGATCTCACGTTATTAACTAATGTTTATGGAGTCCGTAAAAAGTGGATATTCATCATTCTGTTGTGTATTTCAGTTAAAATAACCAAATCAAAAACTCCATTTTCAAATTGCCTCGAAAACGTTTCTCTGGACAATATGGCGTCTCACTGGTGTGTGACGTCACACGACTGCTATTAATACAATGTAATGTCACTTGTCCGGAAGCTTACTTGCGTGTGACGTCATTTTAGGCTCCGCCAATCCCAAGCGTTTTGGGTCACGTGACAATAGATAAGAAAACTATTATCTTTTTCGTGGGTTTTTAGTAAAATTATGAATATCTTTTCTGTAAAAATAGTGAAACTCCCTGCCAATATTCATTCTAAAAACAGATGCTAACAATTGGCACTTTATTTTTTATACTGTCAAATACCCTATTCCTTCATTTTTGTACCCGCTGAGTACCAAGTTAGTTTAAAGTCCTCTACGCACTTACTTATGCTCTAAGTCTACGCATCATCCATCTTGCTGGATCCAGCACGCGGGACAGCGCTAGATATAGGATCTCTTTTACGTGTCATCGATACAGGTAAAACTTTTAAAATCATTAATAAAATAGTCCGTTTTTTATTAATGATTGCAGGCGAGTGTACTACCTACTGCATGTCTCAATCTTTTTAATAACAAATAATTAAAGAGGTAATACGACATGCTATCAACGATATTAAATACCCATGCTATAGACGAACGTAGAGCTCGATGGCGCAGGTGGTTAGCGCGTTCGGCTGCGATCGTTGAAGTTAAGCAACTTGCGCAATGGTCGGTCATTGGATGGGTGACCAAAAATCTTCTATCTCGAATTCATCCGTGACCGTGCTTCGTAGGGCACGTTAAGCCGTTGCTCCCGGCTGCATCTGCAGTCGTTAGTACCCGTCAATCCGCACTGGGCCCGCGTGGTGGGTCATGGCCCAATCTCCCTATTCCATCCATAGGGAAGGCCTGTGCCCCAGCAGTGGGGACATTAATATGCTGATGATGATAGATGAAAGAAACAATTGCAGCGATGCAATAAAAATAAAGGATATTACTCTATAACAATTTTACTATCGTAATTAATTGTATTCAAGATATATCCTCTCATAGGGATACCAGATGATAAAATCAAAAGTCCGGAGAAAAGGCTTGATTTCCATTGGAAAAACCTGAGATTTTTTACAGTTTGAGAATTTTCTCTCAAACGTACTTAACAATTTAAAAAAGTCGTAATATTATTGTTTACACTCTGATTATACTCTTAAATCAATATAATTTGAAGAGCTTAACATAATGTGGGGCATTATATGAATCCATAATTAAAGAAAAAACCTTACTTAAAAATGTATCTTCACATATTAAGTATGATAAAACTGATTAAGTACCGACTTGGATAATAAAGTACTGATTTTAATTGTGCAATTACTACCAATAGAAGATTATTTTTAGTATGTTTAACTTTTTTATTAAAGAGATCTTTAAAACGTAAGCTGTATTTTATTGGAAATGGAAATTAAAGAAATCCTGAGATTTTATGAGATTTGCAAAATCCAGCCGCAATGCCTGACGACCTCCGTGGCCGAGTGGTTTGTACGCCGGGTTTCATGGCTTTCGCCGACTCGAGAGGTCCCGGGTTCGAATCCCGGTGGGGGCAGATGTTTGTATGATGAATACGAGCATTTGTACTCCAGTCATGGATGTTTAATATGTATTTATATAAATCTTTATATATATAATTCTTCTGTGAGTGTGTATGTCACTGAACTTCTCTTAAACGACTGGACCGATTTTGATGAATTTTTTTGTGTGTGTTCAAGGGGATCTAAGAATGGTTTAGATTCACAATTTTTTATGATACATCTTACAAAAACACATATAACCCTAAATTTTCACTCTTCTACCACCAACCCCTATTTTTTATGGCGGAACGAAGTTCGCTGGGACAACTAGTATACTTATATATGTACAGTATATGTATTCTATCCGTTACCCTAGCATCTTATAACACAAGCCTTATAGTGCTTACTTTGGGGCTAGGCTAATTGGTGTATTCACACCGACATTCGTCGGAAATATTTAAAAAAAAAGTTTAATCCTGAGAGGAGTCCAAAAATCCTGAAATCTCAGGATTTGTCCTATCCTACTCACTCACCCAAAAAATATGTCGTCAAATACATAACAGCGAAGCCGACGGTGACCGCTACGAACTGCGCCAGGCCCGCGCTCCGCTTGCGCTCATGCCATAGCGCCCGCTCGCGGGGCAACACCTCGCTCACCGTGACGTAGAGAAGCGTGCCCGCTGCCAACGCCTGCGGACAAAATATAGCAAATACGACTTCTCAAGTTGAAATGGAATATTTATTAAAACCATAACAAAGATACAATGACAATAGTGATCGATAATAACTGCATTAGTTATAAAACTGTTTCGCAGTTATTAACGCCCACCTCCAGAAATCATTTTTTGCTATAATAATTTTAATTTTAATCTTAATGTAATATTAAAACAGAAATTAAATGCGTGTTTGTGTCTTATTTGTGTGTATGTATGTGAGGGTGTGTGTGCGTGTTTGTGTGTGTGTAGGTGTGTGTATATGTGTGTGAATGTGTGTCTGTGTGAGAGTATGTATAGCCCAAATTTATTTAGTTTATTGCTGGGAACAGAAAATGTTATCAAATGTTTTAAAAAATAATAGGCGATCACCAAAACATGTTCATTGCTAACCTATACCGGTAAAAGGTTAGTTTAAGTTATAAATTATATTTTTTTAATGATCATCTTTTATGAACATTTAAATAATGTGCCTTTGTTAAATAAATGAGTGGAGATCATCACTTAATCCAGTAGATATAGTACCTAGGTACCAACTTTTTGTGTACCTATTTCAGATTCCAGGAATTTTAGATAACTAGGTAGAGGAAGGGATGCTAATTTGGAATACTGTTGGTAATTTGGAATACTGCAATATACAAATATACTAAAGCGCCATCTATTAACTTATACCAGTTTTACGTAGTCTATGTGTTAGGAAGCAAAATTGAGGTGGCTTAAAAGCAGCCAATTTGACAGTTCCGTGTCAATCTTCATCGGAGTGAAAGTGCTGACGAGAAAATTTTCCGAGTAAGTAATAAATCGGCTTGCATCTTGAGTGTGACTTATATTTATGTGTTTATATTTGTACAAATCTTAAGTCTAGTATGTCAATTGTTGAAATCAACACTTATTTTAGAAATGAATCGAAACACAAATTCACAAAAACATTTTAGGTTAGAATTGGCTATGTTGCTAATTTGGAATACAATAGGCTATGACTGCTGACTCTGGTTGTTACGTTTGTGACTATTGCAAAGTCTAGAAAAATATAATTGTTTTAATATAAGCTGAAAGTTGTTTTTTTTTTAAATTGAATAATAATATCCCTATTCCAAATTATATTCACTTTGGTTAAACTACGCCAATCTGTGATTTCTTAATTAAACCACAATTGATCCTAATTGTAATAATCCAAGGTTGTTAATTACTCTAACTTGAATAAAATATAAATTCTTCTAACATTAAATGCAGTGTTCACTTTTTAATCTCTTCATCCATGTTTAATACGATTTTTTTAAAAGAGTATGTCAAATTTGCATCTTTTCCCTATACCTATCTACAAGTTTAGAAGTTTACTTAAAATAATAATCGTACGAAGTTAGCTAGCTACCTATCTAAATAAATTATTATGAGCGGACGCGAGCTGAGAGATATTTCAGAAATAATTAGTTGAAAAAACTATTGCTGTCACGCATTGGCAAATACTGTACGATAGGGACAACATAAGCTGACGTTGAAAATTTTGTTTATAAATTACAAAAGTCGAGGTAATGGCTCTCGACGATTTCCTCCTGTAAAATTAGATACCTTTACGTAAAAGAATTTTTACTATATGTTTTACTTTTTTTTTCAAACCAAATAGGTAGAGTGAGCAAAAAAATTTTGCTATTTCATAAAACTTATTTACTAAGATTAAGTGAGACAAAACATCAAATTTTTTAATAAAACTAATTTACTAAGGTTGAGAAAGAACACAACCGATTTTTAATAGTATTTCTTTATTAAGACTGTGAAAAAAAAAACATTAAACACAATCTAGCTCTTCAATTTCGCTCATCTCTGCATTACCGCCGGAGAAGTTATGAATAATCATGCAGGTCACATACGAACATGCATCCTATATGTAAACGAAAGTTTTAAATCGAGTTTTTGAACGCAACATAAAGTGACATTTGGTTGACGATTTAGGCTATTAACCATTCATAGCCAAAGCTCAATAAATGACAAAAAAAACAACTAATATTAATTATCAACATTTGTTATTGTTTGTTTAAAAATGTTTGGTTTTTATTCTAAAATAAGCTGAGTGCTACAAAAGTGTTCCGAGATTTTTTTGCAAACCGTACTTTTCAAGCGACATTTGACAGATGGAAGTCATTGGCTTTCCTATTCTTATTTGAATCGCATTATATACTATAAGACCTCTATGTTTTACTTTGTTTGTAAATGCTTATTTAATCACTAGACACTTTGTTTATTTTTGAGGGCTTCCAGTTTCCATAGAGAAGAGTATTTTTATACCCACCTGCATCATAGGTATCGCCATTGAATCCTGGACCCCCTTGATGATCTCCAGGCCAGCTCCGATGGCTATGCCCGCCACAGAGCCGCCGCTGAACAGTAGCACGCTGACTATGTGAGCGCACAGCCGGCCTGGGGCACTCGCACACATCTCCGCGCCCAGGCAGAACCCCACCACGAACTTGTGGGACGCGACCGCACCCAGAAGCAGGAGTACCTGGAAGCATTCATCGAACTTGCTTATCTTCTTTGCACAGAACACAGTAACATGGTCGAATGATGAACTTTTTTAATGACAACCTATCTGACTTTCGATTTGGACTTGTTTACAATGTCTTTTATTCAATATAAAAAGGCCATTACTGATTGTTTACCAAACATTTAAAAGTTTTGTTTTGTAACTTTTTTTTTTTTTTGCTTTAGTTATACCATCGATTTGCAAGTAGAATAGATATTGCAAACTAATAATGTTTTATAAAAATGATATATTTTAGTGGATAACGGTGTTGGTTGTGTAATGACATCAATGTATTTATTAGTGTTACTACATTACGTAAAATATAGCACAGTTATTTGTTATCCTAAATAAATAAGAAAAATAAACATGGTACCTATCTAATGCCGCTTCCTTTAAACTAGATATAAAAGTTATTGTAACCTATATATCTATATCCTAAATGATGTAATGGAAGGTGACTTCAGAAGTATCTCTGAAGTCATTTTTCAACTTGACGACTCTGTATATATCAATACAGGGAGAAAAAAGCAGCCCTTGCTGAGTTTCTTGCCGGTTCTTATCACTGCCGGATTTAGGGGAGGGAAAACGGGGCGAAAGCCCCAGGGCCTCCACAAACGGGGGGCCCCCACAATACATCTTTTCCTTTGATATTTTTTTTGCTCTTTTATCTTTACCTACAGCCTACAGTACTTTGTACATCTAACATACATGATTATTTGATTATATTAATCTTGAGGTGAGGGGGCCTCCGCTCCTCTGTTGCCCCGAGGCCTCTGGACCTCTAAATCCGGCCCTGGTTCTTATTAGTACAAGGTCTCCCGCAAGGGCGGATCCAGCTTTGGCGTCAGGGGGGGTTCATATAGCCAGCTTTGGCGCCAGGGGGGGGGGGTCATATGGTCGTGGTATATTAAATATTGAAAGTACTTAAATAAAATCCTCCTGGGTTTGGTCCATCTGTACCCAGCCCAGGGGGGGGTCATGACCCCCATGACCCCCCCCCCCCCCCTGGATCCGCCCTTGGTCTCCTGCCGTAGTTTGGCGAACCGATGGCGTAGCTTCTTGACCTTCACTAGTGCTTGTAACAGCCTAGACTGAATAAATGACTTTTCATTTCATTTCATTTTCAGTAGCTATAAACAAAGTCGCTCCTGCTGTAATGTATGTACGCTTACATCTCATATACTAGATCAAAGAACTATTAGGTATGTATTCTGCTGTGACCTTTTTTTTTTGTGACGAGGGGAAATGCAGTTACGCACCATACCGTGACGCTGACTAGGCGCACGGCGTGTGTGGGACTCGCCGGCACGGGAAACAGTGCCGACCCTACTCAAGCAGGAACAGTGCGGAAGGCCACACTGATCCTACTCCACTAAAACCCCCCGGTACCCTCCTACGCCTATATGGGGGCGTCTCGGGGCCGACGCACCTGCGTGCGCCACATCTCCGAGCACGCCCTCGAGCAGGCCCTGCCCAACGAGTGGACCGGGCGACGCGCCTCAGGGGGACTGCGCTAGGGTACTAGGCAGTCCCCAGACGATTCTGCTGTGACCTAGGTACGCGGTGGGATTTTATGCAGTGTTCTGCAATAGATAGAGTGACCCAAAAGCAAGGTAATATACATGTACCAATAATATAATATAGTGATCTGTTTTCTTCATTGCCACAGCGCGTTGAGGCATTTCGCACCTCATTTTATGCGTGTTTTATGGGAATTACATTTCACTTTAAAAACAACATTAAAAAAAATTGTAACTGTTGGTGTCGATTCTGATACACACTCTCTTTTTCATTCTGTATAGAAAATGACAAATTTAAACTGTTGTCTTTCAGTTTAGCTTTAAAGAATCATTCCAGGATCGACACCATTGTATGGCTTTAGGTCAACCAGATGCATAAATTGGAAATTTGAAGATTGCTACTCCAACCGTTTCAAAATTCAAAAAATTCAAAATTCAATATCGTTTATTCAGTCTAGGCTGTTACAAGCACTTGTGAATGTCGAAAAGCTACGCCATCGGTTCGCAAATCTACGGCGCGAGACCTTGTACTGAGAAGAACTGGCAAGAAACTCAGCAAGGGCTGTTTTTTTCTCCCTGTATTGTATACAGAGTCGTCAAATTGAAAAATGACTTCAATATGAGGTAACTCATAAAGTCACTTTCCTAATAAACAAATGCTAATATAATAAAAATTGTGACTATATAAAAACTGGTTTAACAAAGTTTAGGAATGCCGTGTCCTGCTGTTTAGGCAAAAAAAAAATGAACGATTAAAGTTTAGTACAACGGTTAATAGTATCCAATGAAGCAAGAGCAGACTCATCTCCGCTGGCAGCACCCGTTCACGAGCATGACGCATGAACCAGCCATCGCTTCGCTCAACCATTTTTTAGGGAACGCAACGACCCGCCTCACACGACCTGTTTGCCAATGATACACAGGTTGTGTAACGGTATGTAATTTACCCATCCCGGCAAACTTCTTGAATAACAACCTCAGGGTAAGGCCACAGTGCACGCAGGTTCAGAATCAGATTCAGACTCAGAAAACAAACGCGAGAAATAAACAGTGGTGTCGATTCTAGCATGATTCTCTAAACCTAAACTTAAATTTGACAGCAGTATATCCTTGTCATTCTCTATACAGAAAAAAAAGGAGAGACTGATGTTAAATTTAGTTTTAAGTTTAGAGAATCACGCCAGAATTGGTACCATTGTAGTTTAAGCAGGGTGACCATAGTTGCAGCAGGCAACCCCACCCTGCTTATACTACACTGTTTATTTAGCAATTTTACATACAAAAACGTGTGTTCAATAGACGTTTCTGTATGTAAAAAATATGAAGTTTATTTGTCTGTGGGTTTGCTTAAGAAGTTTGCCGCCACCTATATGTACCTAATCGAAAGAAACCCCGAACCAAATTGATTCTTTTATTATTTTGTGGTATTATATCCTTATTTTTTTTATAACCCACCAGAAAATGCGAAAATCGAGATGATGATTCTGTATAGAAATCGCAACACCTTAAATATATAATACTAGCAAACCAGTGAACCAAATGTTCACCAAAACCTGATTTAAAAAAAAATGTATTTAATTAATTGAGAACTTCGGAGATTTTGTGTGGTTTCGTTTGAAATTCGTGATTTCTCGAAAACCGGCAGTGCTACGTTACTCAAATCCGGTTTGTAGTCTTATCAGACTATTCTTAACTTATAACTTAAACATTCTCTTTATCTATCTCTTACGGTTTGGCCGCTGAAACAGCACCACAGACGGACGGACGGACGGACTTGTCTAATAGATAAGAGATTTTTTGGAATATGGAAAAACCCATATCTTTTTAGTAGGTATAATTATAGATTAATCAATCAGTCAACAAAACCTGTGTGTTTAATTTAACTTGCAACGCAATAGGTTGCGCAAGGGTAAGTACTTGGATATCGTACAATCTATTACAACTATTTAGGTACCTATGGCATTTCATACAGTCTTATCGAACGTCTTATTTCTACATAATCAAACATTTCAGTGGAAATAAAACAAGTTTCAACAGTATAGATGCACTGATTTATTTATTTACTATCTGTGCCCCACGGTGTTACCCGCGGTTTATTAGGTATATTTTTCTGAAGAAAAACGTAGCCTATGTGTTAATCCAGGGTGTCAGCTAACTCCAGACAAAATTTTAATAAAATCGCTCCAGTCGTTTAGCCGTGAAGAAGTAACAACAATACACACTCACAAACTTGCGCCTTTATAAGATTAGTGTGATTGACGTTTCTCAATCTTGAAAAGCGTCGTCGACGCATCCTGAAGGGGATGCGAAACGTCAATAAATAAATCAATTTAGTCAATAAAAAAGTGTTAGATGCCCTTTTTTTATACGCAGGCAAAAAATACTATTTACAGACGACACGGCGCCTTTAAGAGGCACACCGCTGACACACGGTAATATTATCTATACAGTATTGTCCGCCCTGTCCTTGAAAATAAATGCCTACGGCCGAGCGCTGCGTTAGCACGCGCGGTAGGGCCGCCCGCCTACAGTATTTTATGTAGTTTTGTTTTTAACGCGAGTGTAGGTAGATTACTCGTTTGTCTCTTTTTTCATCCTAACCACTTATTTATATATTATTCCAGATATTTTGCCCGATGGAAAAACCGAAATACCTAAATATTAGAAACAAATTACGTACTAGTAGATAGGTATATAAAAAATATTCTATAAAGGTAAGACACCTTTCCAATATTTCAGGTAATTTAAAAAATAATATCTCTGGGTGTGTTATTGAAGAGTTCAAGCAACCGAAAACAGCAATTGTGCTGTTGTACGATATTGATCGTCGTTTGTTCTTTTCCATACTAAATTATGTAGGTATCTACTTAATTAAATCAAATATTTACAATACAAAACGCACGTTTAAGCACGGCTAACTGCATAAAAAACAATTCAGACCGTTCGGTCGTCGTTGCGGCGCGGCGGCGCATTCGCGACTGGGTGCACGCCGAGAGCCCATCGAACTCGAGTGGCGTAGGTATGACTCGCTTTCCGACCGTTTGTATGAGAATACTGTATGATATTATTACCGTGGCTGAACGGACCTCCCACCTGGCTCCCGCAAGCCTTACAAGCCCCAGCAGTGGCTGCCCACTGAGGACCCCGTAACCCTTACGGGCGCTTTACGGCATAATATCCGCTAAAAAACCCTGCGAATACCCTCTAAGCTGCTTAGCGCGAAGCCGCGGGATCCCCGTTTAGGGATTCTTCCGCGTCAACGTGTTAGATGCACTGATTTCTATTTATTTATTGACGTTTCGCATCCTTTGCAGAAATGCGTCGTCGGAATATTGATTTTTTATTTACTTTGTCGAGCTACCTTCGAAAGATTTTTATTGAAACCTGTTTATATTAATGAGTGGTGTGCGTGAAAAACTAAGAAACAAATATTTTTGAGTAAGTTAAGGTGCAGTACCT